TTTAGGGTTTAGGGTTGAGTGTCAAGTCTGGATTTGGGGTCCGCCAAGGCAATAGTTCGACAGTTCCCGGTGAGGCCCCTTCGGATTTTGGGGATGTTTGGGCTTTTGGCTGTATGAACCTCAGTAATCCTACGGAGCCTGGCTTTCGGATGTAGCACATATAGATTGAAGTTTCAAACATTTAGGGACGTCTTGTTTCCTACCCCAAACCCGAAACCCGAAACCCTAAACACTAAACCCCCAACCCTAAACCCTAAACCCCAAACCCTAAACCCAAAATCATATAAATCCCCAACCCTAAACCCCCAACCACGTCAAGACTCCGAGCATTACACTTCCTGGCTTTGCCCTGGCCTCCCGCTGAGCGGCCAAGGTTTGCAAGGCCTGGGACTCAGGGGTGAAGGGCTGCTGCAGTTTTTGGGGTTTACGGTGTAGGGTTTAGGGTTTAGGGTTTAGGCCCAAGCATGCATGCATGCATGCATTAAAATAGTTAAAACAAACACACCATGAACAGACATCCATCTGCTGACATGTTTGTGTTTAACAAATGCCACGTATTTTGAAACAGGTACATGTGACAACGCCTGCACATAAACACGTGCAGGTACACATAAACGTGCACACACAGAAGCACCCTTCAGACATACAGACAGGCTGCGCGGCTGCGCATGTGCATCTGCACGTGCAATTATGTCTCCTCACATGTCTTGGATACAAGCAAGTCCAACCTTCGTCTGCCTTTGACTCCAAGCCCCGAGTTAAAGGAAACTACAGGTGGGGAGTTTAGGGTATATAGGGCTTCTATAAGGCTTCTACAAGGTATATAGACCTTCTAGAAGGCTCCTATAACGGTAACTACCCACCTGAAAATGTCCTAGACCGAGGTCCAAAAAATCTGGGAACGAAAACCTGAAATGCTAAGCCGCCGAGGCCGCCTTGTGAAGCCCCCAAAACCCCAAAGCCCTTTCAGCAGCCGCTATGGAAGCCTTAAAGGAACCCCACAATGAAGGTTTCCAAAAATTAGGGGACATTAATATAGTGCCTTAAATAGTAGGATCCTTACGAAAAGGACCCCGAAATAGGGTACCCTAATTTTCGGAAGCTCCCACCAGAGTCAGCCGCGAACCTCATCCACCTCCACGGCGGTGGCTGGTGCGGCCTCGGGTCAAAGAGTAAAGGAGATCGAAAGAACTTCCAAGCTTCCGAGCCCAAGATCTTGACCGTGGGTTTAGGGGTTTAGCTCTCTGTTCGTAGAAAAATAAACGGTTCAGGGCCTAGGGCTTGGTGGAAATCAGGGGCTGGGGCTCAGGTTGTTCTTAAATTTTCTGGGGCGGGTTTTGGGGCTGAGATGGTTGGGGTTTTTGCAACTCAGGGAGTTTTTGGCAGACGGTTTCAGGTTTACCCTCTGGGTAGGGTTTAGGGTTTAGGGTCTAGGGTTTAGGAGTTTAAGCAGTCTTTCTGGTGTTTTTCAATCAAGCCGTGGGGGAAGCAGGGTGCTGAATATGAAATAAGATTATGGCAGCTGTTCACAATACCTCTCAACATAATTTGGTTTAGGGTTTAAGGTTTGGGGTTTAGGGTTTAGGAATTAGGGTGTGTAGACCGTGTGCGTGCGGTGGGTGCGCCTTTTACTTNNATAGGGGCGCACCCACTAATCGCGCGCTTGCGTCAGCATGTAGTCCCACCCCGACCACCCCAAGTATTCTCAATTAGGGTTTAGGGTTCACCCCCCCAAACCCCCCTCAAAGGGGGCTTTCCTGCTCTCTTCTTCCCCCCAAAATGCGCGTTTGACAGCAAGCACAGCTGCAATGGATTGGTGTCGGGCTCGACGAGAAGCAAGGGTTCCCAACAAGGGCAGGGCAGGGCAGGGAGGGCAG